CTGCAATTGCTCCAGTGTGTGGAAGAGATGAAGGGTGAAAGGAAAGCACACATGTCTTCTTTCAAGTGCTGTAGAAATTGCTTGGGAGTCGTTTCCCAATTCACTTAATGCTTGTTAATTGCTGTTCACGAAGTCAGATGATTCTTGCTTTAAAGGGAACCGCAGTTAGTGCAGGAGAAGGAAGGACAGGATACAAGTGAAATGAAATGACCCAACACACTTGTCAACTCCCCCTGCAAAAAACAAAAACAAAACAAAAAGCCCTCCCAAATGCAGAGAACATGGTCATTCCTCTCCCCTTGCGAGACATACTTTTGGTATTAAAATTATTTTGCTACCAATTGTGTGGTACCGGGCTAGGTTTGAAGTTCTTGTAGTAGCTTATACTAGCCCTGGTTGTCTCACCTCAAAAATAATATTGTAGAGTTGGGAAAAGTTCAGAACAGGTAAGCCAAAATGATAAAAGGGGATAGAGTGATTCCCCCAAGAGGAAAGGTTACAGCAGGCATGTCAAACTGGTAGAACATGATCTACCGGTAGATCACTGGATGTCTCTGATAGATCACTGGTAGATCACTGGCTCCCCCCAAAAAGCTCAACAACTTTGACCTGAAACCCCCCTCTCCCCAAAAGGGTGTGGATCACTGCCAATCTTTAATTCTGTGAGCAGATCACAGTCTTTTGGGAGTCGGTCACCCCTGGGTTACAGCATTTGGGATTTCTTAGTTTAGAAGAAAGGCGAATAAGAGGCAACATGAGCAGATAGTCTATTCAGGCTTTATTTCCTTCCTGCTTCTTCTGCAAGTTCAGTCAGTATGAGTTAGCATGTACTGGTGTTAACTTCTTGGATCCATATTGGTCACATTTAAAACTTAGACTTGGAATGGCTTTATTTACCATGAGTAATAAATCTTTATCTTAAATCTTTATCCTTTCTAAACCACTGAGCCTCGTGGGGTTGCCGATCAGAAGGTTGGTGGTTCAAATCCCTGCGACGGAGTGAGCTCCCGTTGCTCTGTCCCAGCTCCTGCCAACCTAGCAGTTCGAAAGCATGCCAGTGCAAGTAAATAAATAGGCACCGCTGTGGCGGGAAGGTAAGCAGCATTTCCGTGCACTCTGGCTTCCATCACGTTGTGCCAGAAGTGGTTTAGTCATGCTGGCCACATGACCCATGAAGCTGTCTGTGGACAAATGCCAGCTGCCTCGGCCTGAAAGCAAGCTGAGTGCCTTTGACTGAACTTAACCGTACAGGGGTCCTTTACCTTTACTTTTTACCTTACCAGACTATATTTACCAAACACCAGTAACTGGCAGGGTAAAGTAGCCTTGCATATAGTACCGTAGGGGGGCCACTTACACATTGCCAAGAAAGAGCACACAGATTTGCTTAAAACTTGCATGTGCACTGACATGCAAAATTGGGTGAGTATGTATTATGCATGCAAATGTGTGCCCTGGATCTAAGCAATGGCTCTGTTTTCCTCAACTAGCAAGCTCTAGGGTCTATGCTAGATTGTGGCTAATGTGTGTATTAGCTGATACGGTGTTCCACCACCCTGTCCCATTCAGTTTAGTAGAAATGGGATATGCAAAAACTGACTTAGGTACAATGTATATAAACAGTCTGTGTGGTGGTTAATCTCCAGGAACACATCCATTCACTTTTAAAATACTACTGTGTTACCTCGGGTTGAGTACTTAATTCATTCCAGAGGTCCGTTCTTAACCTGAAACTGTTCTTAACCTGAAGCACCACTTTAGCTAATGGGGCCTCCTGCTGCCGCCGCGCTGCCAGAGCACAATTTCTGTTCTCATCCTGAAGCAAAGTTCTTAACCCGAGGTACTATTTCTGGGTTAGGGGAGTCTATAACCTGAAGCATATGTAACCTGAAGCGTATGTAACCCGAGGTACCACTGTATTGTATAATCTTCTTCTTCCATCAACTCCATATCAGATTTAAAATAACTGTGACCATGAATGATGACTTTCAGTTGAAACACTAAAAATGCAAATGAGTTCTCTTCAGGAATGTTTATTGAATCAGAAGAAAATCAAAATATACAACTATTTAGAATTCAGGTGCTAGTTTATATCATTAGTCTTATTCTTCCTTGCTTTTACAGTAACACACATATCTGAATTTTCCACGAACACTATTAAACTTGCATCTCATATGATCTTTCTGAAGCAGGCAAAATTTTGTTCAGTCTTATAATCTGGTATAGTTTTCATTTAAGGAATTAGGTTTAGTTACAGGCATAAACTAAAAAATATTTCTGTAAAACTGAAGTGCTTTTCTTTAATGATAAGAAAAAAATTAATAACAAAAGTAAATACATCCCTTGAGTTAGTGATATGAAGGGCTCCATTGTGCTGCCTTTTTGTTAATACTTTAATCACTTTCTTTTCAAAAGCTAATTTCCCCCCATTTTATTACATCAAGGAAGAAAATAGATGAGAATGAGTTAGAAGTCCTGTACATTTCAGCCTTTTCAATATTAATAACTTGAAAATCAATTTGAAGCACACTCTTAAAAAAGTTGAGTTATATGACCTTGGCACTTATAACCACAAACTTTTTTTAAAAAAAAATCTTGTCAATGTTCAATTTATCAAATGATGATTTTAAAAGCTTTATACTTATTCTTCCACCCTCCACATAATTTTGCCACAAAAACAGAATCCTTCTTATCACCTCCATCTAAATATAATTATTTTAAACAGGACCCTTATTACGCTGTGCAACCCAATGCAATGTTTACTGTTCAATAAATCTTAATTCTGAGTAATTGTATTTTGCTTAGAATTGCAGGCTTAGAATGTTTTCTTACCTTGTTTGTTAGAATAATCATTCCATCTTCCACTTTACCCTATGCAGACATAACACTTAACTGTGGTTTGTTTTCTTAACCATGGTTAAGCACTGCATCTGATTAATTAGATGATCATTAAGAGTTGCCTGGAAAATAGGGTGGGAAACTATGGACTGAAGTGTGTTTGCAAACCATAGTTTGCATTAGCTGTGGTTATGTACTGCATCTGTAATGACCAAACCACGGTTAAGGCAACAGGTTCTCCCTATATACATTGGACAATTGTTTCAGGCTTCATAAACCACAGATTATGAAACCACATATTTATGAAGCTGAGACTGATTAACTGAACTGAGCTATTCTCTGGTTATAGAGCATAACTAGGAAAACTAGATCTTTTCACTGCAAAGGATAGAACCAGGGTTAGCAACAAATGCTAACCATGCCCATTATATCTGCACCAGGTTACAGAGAGGTGTAAGAAGACTGCCTCGTCTTAAAAGGTTGTCTATCTCACCTGACCATACATCTACAAAACTGATTTTGATTCCTAGAGTAACCACAGGCAATCGAAAGGAGCAACAGCACAGTGAGAGAACTCATACTTTGCAATATTGTAGGTGACAGATTCAATCTCACATATTGGGATGGGAAAGACCTGAGATCTTGGAGGGCTGCGACCGTTTAGAGGAGGCAAGCTAGATGGAGCAATGGTCTCACAAAGTATAAGATAACTTCCCCATGTTCAGAGATAGACAACTGGGAAGATCTGAACCTTCAGGTTGCAGTTTTGCTGGCTAACACAAACGTTGTGCTTTGAACACCATCTCCCTGACCAATTTAGTCTGTGCTATTCTCCACGCTTATGACAAAGAAGGATTCTACACCACTTGACTGCAACACTGCTACGTGCTCACTGTTATTCTAATCAGTCCAGATTAAAATGGTATGATGTGCTGTAAAGATTGTTAACAAGTAGACATCTGCACAGGTACACATAGGTACACATACAAGTAGACTTTATCTGCATAGGTACACATGCAGGGAGGGCTTGGAATACAGGCTTGGGATAAGGCACGGTTAAGCCCGCAAACCAGGAAAACACAATGTAAGGAAAAAAGCAATGAAGATACAAATTATGAGTATGCTAACTGGGTGCACTAAATTTGGAAGCTCTAATTAACTGCCCAACATGTTTATTGCAGCTGGGGGTAATAAGAGACTCTCATAATTTTGCTTTCCCCTTGCAGGGGATGTGAAGTGGATTAATCTGCTGGGCTCAGCCCTGGACAAAGGCATGCACATTAAGATCTGGTCATCAGAGACATATGTCTTGGTTCAGTGAGGCTGCCCAGAGACAGAGTATGGGGGGGGGGAGACCCTGCCATAAGATGGCATGACAGGGCCAGATGTGGGAGCAGAAGTCTCCGGTCGAAACCAAGCATTACTTTAATGCTCTAATTAGCAACCACATCTTGTTTTGAAAAACTCAAGACCAGGCACGTGCTTGCCCCGCCTCCCCAATTTTCATAGGGACTGCAGCATGAAGGAAAGGGAACCTTAACAATTCTCTTCCCAGATGCAATCCTGACAAAAATTGCCCTCCACCAACAGCAATTAGCTTTGACAGAGTGGGAGAAGATGCTCCCTTTGGTTAATTTTAATCAGCATCGTAGCTGGGAAGGAGGGATAAACCTCCCCTCCCAACATGCCCCTGGTATTCAATTTTAAAATGCACACATACACAGATGTGGTTGATAATAGAGCTATTAAAGTAACATCTGGCTTTGCCCTAAGAATGGTGAGCTTTTATGTAGTGAGGATTTTTATTTTGGTGGCCATAGTCAATATCGCTCTGCCTATCCCTTGGACTGACACCACTCTCTTGTCTTTTCCCTCCCCATTAACCTTCCCAGCAGCTGAGCTGTCCTCAACTCTAAGAGTTTCTCCACTGCTTTTCTGTGACCTTTGAGTTAGCCTATTTGAAGAAAACGTTCTGAAGAAATCCAGAATGTACACCAGTCTTTGTTGAGCCTAGCACAGCTATTGTTTGGCAACAACCATATGAAGCAAGGGGGTGGAAGGGAAGAGAAATGAACCGAAGCAAGTCTCCTTTTTTACACTGCATGGGTGGGGAGAAATGATGGCGGAGATCCAACAATCCATCATTTGGTTCGGTGTATTCATTACTTGGGTTTCACAAAAGGCACAATTGATACTGGATCTGTTTGTACTTCGGCATCGGACATCCGTTTGGGGCTCTGTTGACGGGGAAAAAACAGAGAGAGAGATGTAAAGATATTGATGAAGATGCTAAAATGCTGATTATGTTGGAGCCTCACATAGGCGTTTTCCACTTACATTCTTACTAAGCTTATAGCCCATTTTATACAGACAGTGAAATAGGCTGTGTGTAAATTTTCACTTAAAAACAATTCTGCACAATGCTGAGTAAAACAAAAACAGTATCAAAAGAAAACCTGTAATATGTCCATAACTAGTAAGTTATGGGGAGGAGCTAGGATTTTGAAATAGCACACCTAGACTACTGGAAATCTTATTCAGCACCTCTTGAGTCAGAAACTGCTTGCATGCTTGCAACTTAAGGTTGGTAAGCAAAAGGACTAGAAACTTGGGTTTTTAAGAAAAGAAAGACAAGGTTATGCACCCAGTGATCCCATTTTGCACTTTCTCTGTGCTTGTGCAGAATCACAGAAACCATACAGTCCTGGCTGTAGCATCTGAAAGCTCATGTCTTGGGAAAGTTTATTTTGCATTTAATGTCATTCATAAGATAACCTTCATGTGGTTTGAATTATTCATGCAGAAAGCCAGTATGTTGTGGGGCCTTATGTGATCTGGTGGGCAAGAAGAGCTTAGACCAGTGTAGATTTGCCAGTTCTAACATATTAAAAGTTTTGACCCTACGTACATATATTGTTAAAAAAAATAAATCACCATTAGCGTTCACATGTATAAGGTAGGCTCAAATAAATGATGTTATTAGCAGTTGCCCCAAGAAGTTCCAGGAGTCTCTGCTTATCCCTTTTACTTTCCTTAGAGCAAGCAGTTGGAAGAGATGAAGTAAAAGTGCTTTCAGTATATACACATATGTATTGCTATTGTTAATTTAGTGCCCTCTGCTAAATGATTAGCAATTGGAAAAAAATAAAGCACAAAGTGTCCTGCCCAAAGGCTCACAATCTAGAAGACATGACACATATATGAACAGGAGATGGGAAAGGGTCAGAAGTGGGATTGATCCAGCAGAAGAAAAGTTGTAAAACAGGCAGTCAGGTTCACAGTCCAAGATTCACAGGAAATGTATGATGGTGGCAGCTGTTGAATCAGCCTTTTTACCCAGTGTTTCTCTATTCAATACTGGACTAAGTGCCACCCCACTGCTGTTGCCACCGGACAAGGTTAGGAGACCACCAGGGGTGGCACTGGGTTGGGGTGGAAGGAGGAAGGAGTAGTAGGGAGAAATTTACCTTACTTGCATTTTAATGCAATTTTAGTGCAAAAAATATCTAATTTGTATGTCTCCAAACAATGCATGAACCATAACACAATTATCCGTTAAAATCGAGACTTTTCTGAATTTTGCAATTCAGTTCTCCAACCAAAAATTGTTTACAAAAATGTATAAAAAGGGGAATGTGTACTAAAATGCAGAAACACCATGCAACAATGCATCATAGTAGGAAATTTTTGTTTGCAAAAATGTGTATATAAGGCAAAATTGCACACAAAATTGTATAGATTAGGAGAAAACCCAGATATATTTTTTTTGCAGTGGACTTAAAAAAGAAAAAAGTTGAAAACTGCTATGGAAATATGGAGAACTGAATATAAGTTTGGAAAAATGAGAAACCAAAATTGAGAGATTTGTCCATGCCTAAGCAGAAGGCTCCTTGCCCAGCCCCTCTCAAATTTAGCACCGGCCCTGCTCTTTACCAAACGCATAACAACCCCACTTGACAAACTGTGGCACACAAGTGAACTCCTGGGAACAGATTTGGAGGCTAAGACCCAACATGCTTATACACGAAAGCTTCCCAGAATGGTGGCTACATCAGGATTGCTAAAGAAAAATGAAAGGTAACGTACAAGGCCCTTAAAAAACCCTCCGAATGACTGTCTCTTCTCTATCCTCTTCACAGTGTTTTCCTTCGCAGCTTCCCCTCCATTCTGAAGGGAGTCTGTCTCGGCTGTTTGTTGCTCTGTGGAGTCTGGCTGGTCTTTGGCTTCCTGTTTGTTTCCTTGCTGCTTCTCTGTTGAACTCTCTTGGCTCCTCTCAGCTACAGGTTCTCTGTTCTCAGCCTGGGTCAAGGGCCTGTCTTTGAAGTCCAGTGTCTAAAGCAGTTTCAAACAGCAGTTATTTTTTAAAAGAAAGAAAGAAAGAAAGAAATGCATTTGGCAGGAGGCCCCCCAGTTTATTTAAAATTAAAACTACTTCGCCTCCAATGCACATTCAACCCAAATGGTGGAAAATCTATTTGCTGCAATCCTATGCACACTTAATGTGGAAATAAGAGCCATGGTAGGGCTTACTTCTCCCTGCACATGCATAGGATCGGGCTGCACATCATAATGTTCAGCCTGCCACCCTCCCCCCCCCCCACACACAAGTTGCCCTTTTTACAGTTGTGGGACTACTCTCGTGGAGGAAAATGCACAAGTGGCTTTCTGCAAAGCATTTCTTTTTACACATGTCTGTTGTTTTTATATTTCTCCATGCATAATAAAAAATTGAAGAAGGCACTTAAGTTAGGGCCATGTCTAGATGGATCTTATTCAGGCATCCCACAAACAGTGTTTCCTAACATGTTTTTAGAGAGTGTCCAAAGCACGCCACAAATATAACCTTGGTAGTAGTTACAACAATCCTCTAAAGCAGCCCAGGGTGACTGCCACTCCCATATTATAGATGGAGTTCTGAGGCTAAGAGGTAGCAGTTTGCTGAAGGCTGCTTAGTGACTTCAAGGCTGCGGCAATATTTGAACCACATGGCAAGACACATGGGCTGTTTAAATCAATGCCGCTCACCCAATTGACTGGAACCAGCTGCAGATGAACGTGGGATTTGCATGGTGTACTGCTTAACACTGCAATAACCGCCACAGTTTCCTAAACCAAAACGGTACCCCCCTTTTTGTGACAGGGCAGTTTCTTTTTGAAAATTAAGTACAAACCCCAAAATTTAGCATCCCCTCCAAACCTGTGCCAAAGTTTTGCAGTTGTTTTGCAGCGAAAACCCTGTGTTTTGCAGCACCCCACAATCTGAGTAACTGATACATCAAACACAGGGTTCGTACTGGACATGAACTATGAACCCCCAAATTTGGAATCCCCCCAAACCTGTGCCAAACCTCTGCAGTTGTTTTGCAGCGAAAACCCCACATTTCGCAGCACCCACAAAATGAGTAATTGATACATCAAACATAGGGTTTGTACTTAACATTAACCCTAAAATTTGGAATCCCTAATGGGACCACTTTATTTGCATGCAAAAGGCCCTAGTTAAATCCCTGGCATCTCCAGGTGAGGCTTGGAGAACCCCTTTCTCAAATCCTGCAGAGCCACTGTCAATCAGTATAGTCAGTACTGAACTATATAGATTGCTGGCCTGACTTGGTATAATGCAGTTTCTCATGTTGGCAGCTATGCTGGCTAGATGCAAAGAAGATCAGGGCTTCTGCACCTTTCATAGTTATGCAGAGGAGGAAATGTCATCAGGTATAATTTGCATAATAATAGGATCTATAATATGGAGCCTAGGAAGTTACCATCTAAACACAACCCTAGAGACACAATGTTTTCTCATGCATGCATGCAACAACAACATTACAACAAAGCAGTAACAGTGTTCTCTTCCCAAGCCATGAAGCATGAAACCAAAAGATGGGAGACAGAGACAGAGAAAGATTTGAAAGATCAAGATAACAAATAAATAACACTGGGCTACAGAACAGAAAGATTGCACGGACAAATTTCCACAGTGTAAAATTACAATACTCCACCAGAAGATTTACAACCCATGATTTGGTCAAGGTAGTCCAATGCCATAGAAAATTCTGCATGGAATTGCAAATGGAGAAAACATGACTTCTTACATTCATTCATTTAAAAAATATTATTATTGTTGTTTCTAAAGTAACAACAATTACAAGACAGTTCACTATAGTAAAGGGAGTGAAATAAGAACAGGATATGGACAAAGTTCAAAAGGTTCACAACAAAATGCTACAGTTTGTTTAAAAGAAAGAGGAAGTGAACGGCAATGTTAGATTACAAAGTGAAACGAAATAATATGCACCGCTTTCCCTGCCTTTAGCCATTATTGTGAATCTGGGATGTTATGCCCAAGCTACACATCTGGAAGCCACACACATGCTTTAAAGGTGGCTGAAAGTCACAGGTCATGATATTTTCAGGGTTTATAGGCAACCTGTGGGTTAACATAAAACTCTTCAGAATTTAATTTGCTCAGGCAGCGTGCCTTGGTGTATGAAACCTCTGAATCCATACCTCTGACATAATAACATTTACAGATTGCAGAATCAGCTTCTGGAGTCTGCATGAAGAAAGTTCCCATGCTGTTTCTTTTCAAACATCCCTACTTTATTGTCTAGGCTGGTGCACAAGCAGTGCCTTGCTCAAGACTCAAACCATAATTAAGAGATGTAGGTGTGGGCTGCTTGATTGCAGAGAGCCCCACTCATAGTTGCCAACTCCCTGGGACCCTGGGAGCACCTACAAAATTCCCCATGAAGGGGCCAGGCACCTACAAATTTTGGTGCCATAGTCATGCACACTGCATGGCACCCATGGCCCCAGGCAACCATGGTCGCAGGGCCATGCTGGCACTCCTGCCCTCACTGTAGCTCTTCCCTTCTTCTCCCTGTAGCTCTTCAATTTCTCCCAATACCTACAGTTCTTATCAGCCACACCATTAACCACTGTGATAACACAAGCCCAGTATTTGAAACAAAGGTTAGCTTAGGTGCATCATTGTCCACCATGGTTACAACAAACCATGACTAAAGGCTAGGGATGGCTGACTGTACCATGGCTTCATGCCTACAAGCAAACTATGAGCAGTAAGCCATAGAACAAATTTTGGCCTCAGTTCCTGGTTTGTCTGCTAGTTAAGCAATGAGCCTGGGTTAGGATGTAACACTAAGCCAAACCATGGCTTGGCTATCTGCAGCGGGGCAGCAGCAGGACCAGCGAAGAAGCAAAGCAGTTCTCTCCAGGAACCCACGTGCCTGCTCATTCGCACTAAGCCATGATCTGGTTTAGTGTTCCATGCAGACTGGGCCATTATGTCTACACAAACTATTCATGGCTGGTTTGAACTAAAAGCTGAGGGACTGACATAAGGGAAAGGTGGGGTGGGGAAGCACTAAAGGAAGTATGTGAGCCTCTAGCAATTACTAAGGATGTACAGTTATGAGGATAGAATTGGTTTCCCCCCCGTTTCCACCTGCCGTGAAACTGTGAAAAACACAGGAGCTCTGCATTTTTTAAAATGCAACCCCACTGCAGCCACCCTGTGATTTCTAAGATCATCCCACTCCTTCTCTTCACAAGTTTCAGCTGACTGTGAAGAACAAATGGTGGTGTCAAGAAAAGGTTGCCCTTGAGCTAAGTGGAAAGAACATGTTCAGGATATCATCTTATCTTTGAATCAGGAAGAATATCAGCATGTTTCAAAGCAGCAAATTTGGCACATTTTAATGTTGAAGGAAAGAACACAGGGAAATAGAAAAGGAAAGCTGTAAATAATGAACTGTATCACTCCCCTTCCTAACTGCTGATCCAGACCCAACAATCTGTCTCAGCTTGTAGGCAGCTCGCATTTCTTGAGAAAGGAAAACCAGATTAACGGGATCATAGTTTTCCCGACGAATTCTACTCACGTCTGCCCCAGAGATTTTAGTTGACTCGAGACCTGAATCAATCAAACTCTTCAACCTTTGATGGACTGCATTTTGGTAAAGATCAGGAAAGTGATAGCAGAGCATCCAACGAGGGGATGCCCCCACCAGAGGACAAATGGACCCTTGCACTGGCAGTGCTCCAGAGTGGTGAGGCAAACAGCCTGCTTCTGCACTTTTTTTGCTGTGCGGTGACCTCTCCCCTCTTCTTTCAGGGCTCTATACTGTTGCCACCACCATGAAGTTAAATGGAGCTGATAGGGAACTGTTCCCTTAGCAACGGTGGAGTGTTGTAGGCACATTGCATATGTACAGTGTTATAATGTAAGGCCTCAAGGCTTACTGAAAGGGACGGTCAGCTAAATGAATTGATAACAACCAGTGCAATGGCCACACCAAACATCGTAAAGAAAAGTAAGTGTCCCCTATTTACCCAGTGCAAACTGAGAAGGGATGTTTATTTGTTACACTTATTTTCCTGCAAAGAGCTCACAGTGGCTTATATATGGTTCATGGGCAGTCAGTCCTTCATCCAGAGAGCTTACACACCCCACACACTGGGTGCATCTTCCAATGTCATGTTGCGATGGGCCAATGGGACCCCTGAGCCCCCAAAAGATAAGCTTCTGCTAGCTCACAGACTTCAGCAATAGGCCTGTGTTTTGTGGTTCACAACGGACAGCAAGGAGTATCCACATTTCACAAATGAAAGCTATCAGTCTGCTGCCTGTCCTGTCCACATTAGGTACTAAATCTCAAATAATTTGATCCAGTATATGAAGACTGCAGTACAGCCATTTCTACTTCATTATGTATTAATGGTGGCAAAGGTTTTAACAGTACATAACTGGTAAAAAGAAGCAAAGGTACTTATAATCACTGGTTGCAAGATAAAGAGCTAACCTTTAATTAAATGCAGTAAATTAATATACTAGTTGGAAGTTCACTTTTGCAATGGAACATGAGTTCCACTTGCAAGATAGGACCTTCCTCTTCTCTTCCTGCGATGCCCTCCACCCCAAATCTGCTCTGGAAGTCCCCCAACCCTCTGGAACAGTTATTGAGGGTGATCAGGGGCTGAAAGGAAAGGAGAGAGAAGTTCTGCATAAGTGAAAATCTGCTGTGTGAGCAGAACAGCAGTGTTGGATACAGCCCATTAACTTTTAAATGTATTATTTCACTACTGTAGAAGAAACTACGGTAAGTTAATATGAAGTGAATGGACTTGATACAGTATTAAGAACTTTACACAGATGCCAGACTGACATGCACTACACATAAAAGTAAGAACATAGGGAGTGTTTTAAGACAAACTTGAGAACAAACATACAGATAAGACAGAATTGTCTTAATTTATCCTTACGTTGAATTTTTGTAAAGATCTGATAGCTTAAAATGATGTTAGAGGTTCTTTAGAAATGTATAAAATGCATACACCTATGAACTATTGGATATATGCTTGCAGTGCTTTTGATAAATCTGGTCATTTAAAAACCCAAACAATTTATTAATTTTGGTTTTGATTGCAAAATTAAATTGATTTTGATACAGAGATTTGTTTCCAAAGGCAATAGTGACAGTTTTTAAACCCAGCAGTCCCAAATTCAGCTGAAAAATTTGAAGAAAGTAAAGCATGGAACACAATTGGTCAGAGGCTGAACAAAACATGCTCAATGGACAGATGAGTTTTGCTGCCATGAAAGAAGAAGAAACAGCAAAGTAAGACTCCAGAAGTAGATACCAGCTGAACCCATCACAAAAAGAAGATCGAATCCATACACTTACTTGGGCATCAGGGGCTTGCCCATTTACCTCTTCTGGAGCAACTACTACTGCGTCACCTCTGACTGGCTAGAATAACAAAGGGTTAGATGCATTTCTTCTTACCATGTTTCTGTAGTACTGTGGTTACGGAGGACTTTAACAGGCAATGCTAGCTAGATTCTTTATCCCCTAACTCTGTTTTTACACTTGTGAACTTTTTCAAATGAATCCAATCCAGATAATGCATACCTCCCTCTTTCCAATCTATGGAGCCCCTTAAACATGTCAATTTTGGGCAAATGTTAAGACTTCTCATTTCCTCGAGTGTTCTTTATAGGCTTGCTGTGATTCTGAAGGCAGACAACTTTGGGCAGGTCCTGTTAGAGTTCACTGGTGGGTGCTGTTTGACTGAGTGTATGGGGTGAAAAATCAACAAACATTTAGAAGAGGGAATGGCCTTAAGGTTCTCCAGAAATCAGGGTAAATGTGGGTTAAATGGGAGGAAATTATACATTGGCATTTTGATGCTGGCAGTGTCATACTGAATGCAAGAAACTTGCATGTATGAAGCGTTTTGGTTCCAGAATACACACCTGTCTGGAACTTCGAAGTGCCCATTATCTGTTGTATGACTTATGGAGGTGGTGAGTTTACTCTATAGGTCTGACTGTTTCTAATATAATGCCTGTTGCAAGGGGTGGGAGTAAGGAAGAGAGGTGAACTGGTCAGATCATGAAGGAGACCTTGCTGAAGGAGCAGATGTACGTGCTCACCTCATGAGGTGAGATCATGAGAGGAGTTGCTCCGCCATAGGCCACCAGCAAATGTTGCGGTACTCTAACTACTCTGTTTGGCTATTTCAAATACTTTACAAATTAATCCCTTCTAGGTCATACTTTATACCTCCTCCCATACAGATTCAAAAATACCCCTCTTACCAATTTAAATAATTTCCTCAGATCCTTAGTTTTGCTGGGCTTCTCATCTCCTTTGGACTTTACTTCTGCTGCTTCCTGACTTCTGCTTTCAACTTTAGCTGGGGCTTGGGGAGATGCTTCGATCCTCTCCGTGTTTATCACCTCGATGTCATCTGTTGAAGTCTGCAGGTTATTTGTAACAAATGTTAAGGAACAGCGGAATGCATTTAGATAAATTAAGATGGCCTATTTTAGAAATTCATAATCACTTACGGGAATAAGAGCCATCATCTCAGAAGGCTGAACATTTATTTCAAACTTAAAGAGACAGATTTTTATAGGAAACAGGTTGGATTTTTGCACCCTGGATGCCACTCCCACCTTCTGTGAAACACAACTAGATTTTAGAGTTTCCTTGGAGAAAATCCTTTCTAGTAACTTCCTGAATATATTTGGCTGCTTATAAAGCTAACAAATTGCTTCAGTGATATAAACTACTTTGAGATCAGTTGATAGTCCACAAATGACTTAAACAAACAGACCATCAGATCCCTTCCCAAATAAAATTAGCATGCCAGGTGGAAAATTAGAACCTTTTCCCCTGGTATGCTACATTTCTACATGCATGGCATTTATTTTTATGTAAGGGAAACTTCAGACATGCCATCCCACCGACCTGCAGCGTGAAGTGGTATAGTATAGCAAGAGTAAAAGTGATTTCCTTGTATGTATGGACAAAGCTCACATTCACATGCCCATGGTATCTGTAAATATTGCTGCTCAGTCCACTTTTGGCATGGCAATGGTGGAATTTCTGCAACACTGTGGTTAACAAAATGCCAAGGAGGTAGGCTATGAAATCCCTATTGCCTGTTTACTCACTGGTGTGGTAACCCTTAACATTAGATGTTGGGGAGGAACTGAATGTTAGGCAGCAGAGAGTTGCTGCTGAAAGGTGGCAGTCTGTGATCCAGTTCTCCCATTTCTCCTTGGTAGCGTGAAGTGAAATTTCCCATGGTATTGACCAACATAATGTGCTACCCTGCTGCTGACCAGGGGGCAGTCAGTTATGTGGAGCACAGTTGGGGAAACCCATAAAGCTATGTTGTCAAGCATGTGGGCAAGATTAGCAAAATAGTCACAAGGAAAAAGTAGAAAACCGAACACAGAGCTGCTTTTCTTGCCAGCAGCCCATTGTTTGCATCACAATGTCCAGTTTCACGCTTAAATTCAAGAGTGAAGTAACCATTAGCTACTTAGCCTGTGGTGTTATTAACAGTAGTAATAGAAACTCAGGGACCTCTCCAGACATCCATTTTCTGTGAATTCATGATTATTTGTGCTGATGGTGGTATCGGGGCGATTATTTGCAATCCTGCTTTCAGTGGGGCAAACGTACTGATGCATTTCCAAACAGTGCATCTCCCCAACTTCCTCCTGAAACCCTGTAACATTCCATACCACAAATGTTTGCTGGTCATAATTTGCTGTGCCATAGCACACGTGTGCCCCTTCAGACTCCTTCCCAACATTGCAGCAGCATCTCCCAACAACTAATAAAGCAGACAGTCCAGGATAAATTCACCACTAACGAACACCCACAAAAAGTCTGGAGGGGTCCTCAACTGATGCAATTTACTGACAAGACAGTTAGAACAAATAATAAATCAGGAATCAACAAAATACACAACCTTAAAAAGAACCAGCACCATTATAAGCGGCTGTGATATGGTCACCATGTCATCTTCAACTTTTATTTTATTCTTAGTATAAAATGTAATGCAGCATTGCTATATTGCAACAAAAGATGACCGAACAGAAAGACAGAATACCTTAAATCACAGCTATGAAATAAAATACAGTATGGACATTAAAATCCAATGGCACCGTTCAAAGAAAGCCCTTTAACCATTCCAAAACAACAAATATTGATGTGGTGCTTGTCAAACTGCATGCCCATTGATGTAAATTTTATTAGCATATGGCATTAGCTGTTGCACTGATGCCATTGGCAGTTACATTTGGTCTTCCAGCTCACCAGATGTAACCAGTTATCTAGCTGTAGGAGTTTGTTCTCTTCCCAAAGCAGAATACATCTTCAATAAGGCAGAGCAGAAGCAATCTCCTGGGACTTCGTTTTTTTTTAAAAACAGTATAGTGTGCAATCATATTACAGCCAGTGCTGCTACAGCTGTAGCCCAAATGTGTACTGTCTCTCATGCTATGTTGATGCAGTGGGTTTAGTTTCACTAGTGATAACAGTTGTATCCTGGGAGGAAATTCCAGGCACGTCTGGGTTCAAGGAAAATATCCAGTCACCCAGGAAGCCTAACTGACTGGCTATTTTATGGCTTACCAAAAACATAATGTTGTATTGATGGTACCCCTGCTACTGATTTGGCTCTCATTTGCTGATGACAGTTACTTTTGCTGATAGGGATACCTCAGCTGATGTGTTAATAGAGGTATGTTTGAAGAGATTGGCTGTAATTAAATCTAGCACAAATAAAAGCGACGTTTGATGTTTCAAGTTGCTATTATATTGCAGGTTGCTTTGAGCTTTTGAGAAATGGACAGGGCATGCATATAAGACAAATGAGCGGTTATTTTCTTTAGCTCTGCTGCCCAGTGAGCAATTTTTGGATTTTTGAAGTCATTGATATGTGCAAGTAAATAAATAAAGACTCTCCCATGGAAAACCTGCATTTAATCTGGCTTTGCTGTGGCATCATCCGTTCTAAGAAACCTCTCAACACTGGGTCAACCCAGGACCTATCGTGAGATATATGAAAAAAACTCCTATAAATAAATCTAGCTGCAATATGACCAGAAATGAAAACGACTATCCAGAAAATCCACATGTACCTTTTTTCGAAAGAATTTACTTAGGGGTGTAGGAGTAGAAGAAGATCTCTCCTTTGTTATTATTATTTCTTTTGGAGTTTCGTTGGTGACAACCACTGTCACTGTGGCTGGTTGTGGCGCAGGAGGGTCAGGAGCCCTTGTGTTCTGCTTTGCGGCTGGACTCTCCTGTGGTGGAGCGACGTTTGCTTCCGATGTCACGGTAGCAGTGATTACAGGCTGCTCAGCGATCTGGAAACATACACAAGAATTTGTAAATAGACAAAGGGCCATTTAAAGATTTGCAGAATGGGGCGGTGTTGGCCCACACCAGACATTAAGCTCAAGCTTAACACACATTTAAAGCACACGGCTTCCCCCAAAGAACTGTGGGAACAATAGTTTTGAAACGGTGCTGGGAACTGTAGTTCTGTGATGGAGAAACAGCAGTTCTCAGGATTCTTGGACGGGGAGCGTAATGTGTACTGAATGTGTTTTCAAAAAGTGGGGGGGAATAATGAGGATGGGGGAAAGAGACAAGATAACATGGCACAACTATAGCTTATGAAAGAGCATCAATTCCTACATTTTTATGCATACCCCGTGCATTATGGCAGCCTTCCCCAATTTAGTGCCCTCTAAAAGCTATGGTTTTCCCAGTAGTGATGTATGGAAGTGAAAGCTGGACCATAGAGAAGGCTGATCACCGAAGAATTGATGCTTTTGAATTATGGTGCTGGAGGAGACTCTTGAGAGTCCCATGGACTGCAAGAAGATCAAACCTATCTGTTCTGAAGGAAATCAGCCATGAGTGCTCACTGGAAGGACAGATCGTGAAGCTGAGGCTCCAATACTTTGGCCACCTCATGAGAAGAGAAGACTCCCTGGAAAAGCCCCTGATGTTGGGAAAGATGGAGGGCACAAGGAGAAGGGGACGACAGAGGACGAGATGGTTGGGTAGTGTTCTCGAAACTACCAGCACGAGTTTGACCAAACTGCGGGAGGCAGTGGAAGACAGGAGGGCCTGGCGTGCTCTGGTCCATGGGGTCACGAAGAGTTGGACACGACTAAACAACAAAGATGTTTTGGATTACAATTCCCACCAGCACGAGCCAGCATGGCAGCACCGGCTGATACTGCTGAGAACTGCAGTACAAAACATCTGAAGAGTACCAGTTCTGGAAGGCTGGGTTATAGCATGGGCGAAAAGAAAATGACTTTTATAGGAAATGACTTTTAAAGTCACATTTTGGGCACATGATTGCTCTCTATGCATTTGGACACTTAAGATATTGTAACCAAATTCTACATGGTGGATCCTGAGATCAAAGAGCAAGTTTTTGTCTATTTTGATACAACTGGATGCCATTTTGAATCAAGATGGTGGGCTGAACTGTTCTGCACTGATTTTAACCACTAGTTTCAAAATGGCACTGATTTTTTTTTTAAGTTTGTTGGAAAAAAAATTCCTGAGAAATGCCAGGTACGAGACTGTTAGCTCTCTATTAATCTGAAACTTGTAGAAATGTTATTTGCAACTGGAAACTCATGAATGCTTTTCAACAGTGTTACTCACTTTGGTATTTGCTGCCTGCTGGGCATCTTTCTTTGCCTAAAAGAAGAGGAAATACACATACACAAGTCATTTGGGGCTTTGTCATTCCATACAACCCAGTACCTGTGATTATGAACAGGGATAGAGTCACACGATCAGTTTGGCTTATGGTAGATATGATGAAACCCTATAACTTGGAAAAGTGTTCAAAACTCCCATTGTTTTAGGTGCATTCTGCGACAGGGGATTTCGTTAGCACAAGCAGTTTCTGAGGTCTGGGTGCAGTACTGCGCCTAAGATTTCAGATTAAAACTGCAGAGTGGAAGGAAAGGAGGATCTTTTTCTGCCTTCCCACTTCCAGCTACTCTCTGAAGACTGGAGAAGAGACCCTCTTAAGAATATTAGGGGGGTGGGCAGGGGAAGGACTAGACCATGCGGAAAATGAACATAATATTTTAACTGCAGTTCTTTCATTTTCAGCTTTGCATTCCTGTTATTAAAAAGTGTGCTTAGACATTTTGTTGTTGTTCAAAGTGACAGTCATTGCAATTGTTCCTGTTCCACCATAAATTCCTAGTGAAAGTGACCATTTTTGAAAACATAGTATGCATTCATAACTTCCATTGTAAATTTCTCATACAGTGGTACCTTGGGTTACATACGCTTCAGGTTACAGACTCTGCTAACCCAGAAATAGTGTTTCAGGTTAAGAACTTTGCTTCAGGATGAGAACAGAAATCGTGCTCCGGTGGTGCGGCAGCAGCAGGAGGCCCCATTAGCTAAAGTGGTGCTTCAGGTTAAGAACAGTTTCAGGTTAAGAACAGACCTCCGGAACGAATTAAGTACTTAACCCGAGGTACCACTGTATACAATAATGACCTCCTCATTTAATCCCAATGCACCAATGAACTTGTATCCAGCTATTAGTATTTATGTTATTTCAGGTGTTTTTTTTTAGAAAACATACTTTTGGTTGAAATTAGTATTAACATTAAGACCTGAAAAACAATGTTCCCCTGGTTCAGAAGGTGATCATGGCTTTAAGGAAGCATGTGCTGGCTTTAGAAGATATGAGGTACAGGGACAACAGGAAGCAAGTCTGGCAGCTCCTGTTCACTGTGCCACTTTATAAATTTCAGCATGAAGTTTGCACATCTCCCTCTGTGACAAGATGCACGTCTTGCTGATGTGTGAGCATGCATCTATCAATGTATATATTTAATTACCAAAACGTACTATGAAGCAGCCTTTCCCCAGCTTGATCCTCGTGTCTACTCAGACATACTTACCCTTGAACTACCTGAGATTTATTTATTTTTAAGCACGGTTAGGGCTGGAGCCTCAGAACTCTTCTCTTGACCCTAAATAGGATCTTGTAGTTACAACTTCTATAGCTCATCCCCCTTCAGGTGAATGTGTGGATCTTTCCTTTTCAAATACAGCAACCGATACGATATTTTCATTTCAAAGCATTCTAAGTGCCTTTCCCACTACCATTCTATTCCAAATCAATGCACTTATTATGTAATCCCCTCTACTCCCAAAAATTCCATGTGGGTGTCTGAGTGGAATTTCTGAACTCAGAAATTAACTTCATTTTCCATCCACAGCTCAAGGCTCTTTGTCTATATGCATTCCTCAGGATAGAATGCTCTCATTCTTTTTCTCCAAACAGAAATATTGATACTTAATATTGAATAATAATACGTTGACGTGATTTTGGCTACGATTTTGTACTAATACAAATCCTACAATTCTTCAAAATTAGCCATGCATTCATTCTGGGTCTTTACTGCTGACTTGCAGCTACTGCTTTGCTCTACAAGTGTGAGGGAGTTGCAGGGAACCAGCTGTCTACAGTTATCTGAAGAGTTATCCTAAAGGAGCAAGATTGTAGCTTGAGGGTACTCTTGGATCCATCATTGTCACTGGAAGCGCAAGTGGCCGCTATGGTGTGGAATGCTTCTTACGAGTGGAGCGCACATTCACATTTCCCCCTTTCACTGATGGGAGTTATATCGAATTCTGTTATTCTATATTTCAGTTTTACAGTGCTGGTCCAGTAGCTTTCTGGAGCTTCTTCAAGACTGCTAGAAAGAGACACCACAAATAGCACAACCACTGGGCCACTTGCAGGATCGTTAATATAATGGCACGTGAAATTCTCTGAACGCTTTACATGCAGGTCAGGTGTAATTTTAATAGTCTCTTTTTGACTTCATTGTTTGTCAGATCGAACCTCAGGTTAAAGGCAGCACGGGCATTGTTAGTGAGAGGGAGTTATTAACACAACATGGGAAATGGTCAATACGAATTGGTTAGAGGGTTTTCCTTCCTGAACCCTGAATTCACAGATGTTGCTTAAGGAGTAGATTTCCAGACTCTAAAACGCTCAAGACGCCTTCTTTCTCCCTCCCCACTAAGCCGGATTTTGCCCTTCAGGGAGTCTGATCCTTGCAGTTTTTCATTCTGCGTCAACAATGCGAAGACTCATCTGCTGCCATTCAGGGTTCCATTTTTGTTAGTCTCCAGTACCAACCTTATGCCTAAACAGTTTGCTAAATGTACTGTGTCCTAATCTGGGGCTGTCTGGCTTCTTTTTCTTGGTGCCTTTCACGTGGGAATCGGCCGCCGTCTTCTCAGAAAGCTGCCCGCCAAGGCCTGTTTGAGATCCCTTTTGGGCGACATCATTCAAAGCTGAGTCTCCACTGCAGGCTGTGTTGTCCTTTCGCTCACAACATTTATTTACTTAGCAAGATATATATACCGTTTAATCAAAGAAATATCTCTATGGCAGAGGTTTGCAGAACAGCGTAAAATACTCATTTTTTAAAAAAAGCCTTTAAAAAGGGCAGGTAACAACAGTATCAAAATACAGATAAAAATCAGCAGCTCTCTTAAAAAAACAACCCAAATGTACATAATACAATCACACATCCTGGTGTAAAGGTAAAGGGACCCCTGACCATTAAGTCCAGTCGTGGCTGATTCTGGGGTTGCGGCACTCATCTTCCTTTATTGGCCAAGGGAGCCGGCATACAGCTTCCGGGTCATGTGGCCAGCATGACTAAGCCGCTTCTGGCAAACCAGAGCAATGCACGGAAATGCCGTTTACCTTCCCGCCGGAGCAGTACCTATTTATCTACTTGCACTTTGATGTGCTTTCAAACTGCTAGGTTGGCAGGAGCAGGGACTGAGCAACAGGTGCTCACCCTAACAAAAAGAGCTTTTTAGCAGTGTTGAGTACAACCTAGGCCAAATATTAACAGGCAGGGAGTTCAAGAAAACAGGTTCTGCACACTCAAAAATCAATTGCTTACAAGTGCAGAACAAATATTTTGTGACACTTGTAAATGTGCCTATGCATGAGAAGAATTATATGCACTAGAATGTCATAAGATAGTACCCATATCTACACATCTCTCCAATGTAAAGGACTCTGTGTTTCACTTATTTAAGAATTATCTCACTGTCTCTCCCCCAAAACATTCTTGAGGCTGGGCTGGTGAGCCTCTAATACAGCCCCCTCCCTGGTAACCCCCCTTAGCAGCCCTGCTCCTCAGCGCTTTTGCCTGACTGGAATGTGTCCTTGAACTGTGATAGTGTTTCTTGTTTGCCTGGGTGGAAAACAGAGAGAGATGAATTTCTGAAGAAACGTCTGGCTTTGGTGTGGCTGGAACGCAGCCCACTGAATAAGTTCAAGAGTTACATCTATTGGCCTCCTCTTTTTTATTATTTCATTACATTGGGCCCCACATACAAGTGTCATGTGTTTCCCAGAAGGCTGCCCATGAAGAAACGTGGCCTTTAGGATATAAAAATGCCCCCTACCCTTGTGTTAAGGTCAATCATACAGCAGGGGGGAAAATCACTATTATAACGAGTACTGCTTAAGCACACCATTCTGTGCACTAGTCAAACCTTCAGCCTTCATGGAACCCTTTCAAATATTGATTCATCTGCTGAGAAACAGCTACATCTTTGGGGTGTTGCAGAACGTTTGGCAAAGGCATAAAAGGCACATGCTGAGCTTTGCAGCAGTCCTGGATGAACGCAACTTAGAATGCGTGTTTTGAATGATGTGTGCTGCACTCCTTAGCATAGCTGTCAATGTTTCCCTTTTCTTGTGAGGAAACCTATTTGTAATAAGGGAATTTCCCTTTAAAAAAGGGAAACGTTGACAGCTATGCTCCTGAGCCACTGCTTCTCATCATGCAGGACCAAGAAGGTGGCAGACACAAAAAGATGCTTCCTTTTCCTACATAATGTCCCAAGTCCTGCAGCCCCAAAACAAGCTGGGAGCTTGCCACAGGTATCATGATGCTCCTTGAGAAAGGCTGCTCAGAAGCAATATACTATAGCTGGGAGTCTCCTGCTGCTTATGCAAACTGGCCCTTCTGCCAAGGATAGTCATATGCTGTAGGGAGCTTTCTGATTTTTCTTTAGTCTGTTTAACTTCCTGCTTAGGACTGTCTAGAAGACAGATGTCTTGTGGGCCACTGTACACTCCAGAAAATGATCTAGGGGCCAAGAACAGCCAGCTTCCTAATAAAGTTGGTGCCACCTAGTGGTAAAGACCTCCCAGTTATTAAGCATGTGCTCAGACACAACATTATACATTAAAAGGTAAATTTACATATTGCAGAAATGCACCATTATATGCGGAATTTAGTTTTCTGCCGTCAACGAACGCTTTCAAAACCAATTGCACAAATGTGTCAAATTGCCAAAGAAATATTTAATATCAAAGTCTGGGTTCTTAATAGGCTGGGGCTCCCGCTTGGTAAGAGAAGTGCTGAAACAGGCGAACAACAAATTAGTTCTAAGGGCCATTTCATACATTGAACAGAAAAAAGGAACTCCCCAGACACACACCCCTCTGCAACAGGGGGTTGCAGCACACCTTAGTTTTCTCACACATGCACCTATATGAAAGAGGTACTCTCAGATATATATTTGCCAATTTACATTATTGACATGCACCTAAACACCCTCTGCCCAGGTATAGTCCTTAAAAATGTAGCAACCCCACTCAGCTAGGAATCAGGTTGACCTTGGGCTAGTCACTGTATCTCAGTGTGAGCTACATGACAAGGTTGTTGTAGAGATAAAACAAGGCAGTGATTTGGTATGCTACCCAGAGAACCTTGAAAAAAAGGTGGCATGAAAAGCAAGTCAGATAAATAAATTGCAGTAACCAATAACACAAGTCTTTAATATTGCCTGATATCAAATCAAATGCAATTATTTGCAGTGTAGGTTGGGTTGTGCATGCATGTGTGAGCCAGTCCCAAAGTACACATTAAGCCAGTTTAGAAAAGTATCCCAAGAAAAGGGAGGAAGGGTCTATATTGAACTTATATTGCCAGGATCCAATCACTCACCTTGTCCTCAGTGTCACCCTTGGAATCTGCTTTGCTTGGAGATACCTTTCAATTCAAGAAAAGAAAACAACCCATGAAATGTGCAATATTCAAAACCAGACCAAACTCTTGACATGAATTGAATGAGAATTTAGCTGGAAGAAAAACATTAAGTGTGCAAATTTTAAACTGGGATAGCTCAGCACATGAGATTCCTAATCTCAGGGTCATGAGATTGAGCCACACGCTAGGCGAAAGATTCCTGCAGTACTGGGGGTTGGACTGTATGACCCTAGTGGTTCCTTCCAATTCTATGGAGGATTGGACAAAGGCCAATGGTGTTTGAATGCAGAGAAAGACTTGTGTTAAGCACTGGAAAGAACAGCCTAATTGTAAAAGTAATTCAAAGCTAGAACAAGCTACCTAGGGAGATTATGAAGTGTTCCTCAAAGGCAAATTAAATGGGCATCTGTCAGCATGAAGACAAGATTGTAGAGCACCCTCCCTCCATAGAAAGCTGAAAGGGGTAAGATGGAACCATAGTGTCAGGGAACTGCCATCAGCTCAGAGGCGTGAAGTGGAAGGGCAGTTGTGTTATAGGGAACCTCCGAAAATCTTGCGAAGCAATTCCTCTTCTGGCGAGGAGGAAAGCCCCACCTCCAGTGGAGAGGCGGTGGTGGGACCAGGGGATGCTAGGGAGAGCCTCAACATGGAGCCTGCACAAACCGGAGAGGAGGGAAGTACCCCTTTGCCAGCGCCCACTCGGCGCAGGGAGGGGAGGAGAAGGTTGGGGGGTCACACGACTGTTATGCTGGGGGAGGTACAAGGACCGACCACTCCCAGATTCTGCTAGTGACTGAGCCAGACATGAACTTACGACGCTCTTCACTGTAAATAGTTTGCACTAAGAATAAAGCCTGGAAAAGACAGGTCGGAGTCTTGCCTGTTTGCTCTCGAGCAACCACACCAGCACCTGACACATAGGATTGTAAAGTTGGAAGGGACCCAAAGGGTTTTGTAGCTCAGCTCTCTGCAATGCAGGAATCCCAGTTACAGAATCCTAGCTGTAAATGATAGAGCCATCATGGCTTGTGGTGTGCCCACTCTTCTTTCCCGTTATGCTGTTCCAAGAATGCAAGAACATAAGTGCTCTGTTGGGTCAGGCCAAAGCCTGCCTGCCAGTCTGGCTCAGTGTTCCCTCGGCAGCCAATCTGATGGTTCTGCAAGCCTGCAAGCAGGGCAAGGCAAGGCAGGAGTGCAACAGAACTCTCCCCAGCAACTAGGATTTAGAGGCATGCTGCCCCTGTTACTAGAGGCAATGGATTGTCTAGTAGCCACTGATAGCCTTACTGTATTCTCCCTGAATTTGTCTAATCCGCTTTTAAAGCCATCCAAATGGGCAGTTGTCACTACATCCGATTCCATAGTCTTAACTATGTGTTGTGTTCTCTCTCGCCTGCTCTGATTCCCCCATCACCATTCAGCTTCAATGATTGGCCCCAAGTTCTAGTATTGTGAGAAAGGGAGAAAAAACTTCTTTGTCCACTCTCGCCACACCTTGCGTAATGTTATGCTGTTATGTACTGAAGTTCTCACCCTGGGCTAGCAGGGGGATACTGTAGATAGTTGTGCAAATAAGGGATCGAAAGTGACATTCAATGATTGGATAGTTTTAGAAAGTTGTTACAGTAACGTTGTACTGGGGCTCTATATAAGCAGGCTGACTGAACTCTTCAGTTCAGTTCTGGCCTGGCCTGTGAATAAACAATAGTTGTTTGAAGAATCGCTGTGTCGTCTGATATGTTCACCCACAACTTAACATATACACCTCTATCAGGTCCCCTCTTAACCACATTTTGCCTGCTAAAACTGCATAGCCCCAAATGTTGTACCCTTGCAGCTGCTCCAGCCCCTCGATCATTTTGGTTGTCCTTTTCTAGCTTGATGATCTTCTTTTAGTGCTGTAGTGGCCATAACTGTACACAATTTTTCAAGTTTTCCATTGCCTCTAGCCATGTATATTTAGTTAGGCTTAAAAAAATATATTGCAAAGCTTGTTTCACCAGCAGTTAAGCAATCACAGGCAATAGTGATTTCCTAGACCAAGTTTGATAGCAATCCTTTGCATGCTGACCTTGGAGTAAGCCCCACAGACCTCAATGGGACATATGTCTAAATAAACATACTGTTGTGAGTTTTGAAGGGACAGGGTTAGGCCGTATGCCCAAGTCCCTTCTAATTTTTGAATCCGGCAAGGATTCAATCGTTGGAATAGCCAGGCCACTTTCTTGGTGTTTTAAGAGCCCTATCTGCTTTTGCATCTGGCCACCCCATGATGAACTAGTGCACTACTCTGAACACAATATTTTTGTGGCAAATGCTGCCTACAACTAAATTGACTAATAATTAAAAAGCAGACAAAGACAAAGCGCATGTTAGAAAAGTTTAAGTTCCTTGGTAACATTTCCTGTCATATTGCAGAGATATTTTATTAGATTTATTACACAACCCTATGCATTTTTATTCCTAAACGAGTCCCTTTGTTGTTGTTTAGTCGTTTAGTCATGTCCGAATCTTTGTGACCCCATGGACCAGAGCACGCCAGGCACTCCTGTCTTCCACTGCCTCCCGCAGTTTGGTCAAACTCATGCTGGTAGCTTCGAGAACACTATCCAACCATCTCGTCCTCTGTCGTCCCCTTCTCCTTGTGCCCTCCATCTTTCTCAACATCAGGGTCTTTTCCAGGGAGCCTTCTCGTCTCATGAGGTGGCCAAAGTATTGGAGTCTCAGTTTCAGGATCTGTCCTTCCAGTGAGCACTCATGGCTGATTTCCTTCAGAACGGATAGGTTTGATCTTTTTGCAGTCCATGGGACTCTCAAGAGTCTCCTCCAGCACCATAATTCAAAAGCATCAATTCTTCAGCGATCAGCCTTCTTTATGGTCCAGCTCTCACTTCCATACATCACTACTGGGAAAACCATAGCTTTAACTATAACGAGTCCCCAGTCCTCCGTAAATGGAAACAAGTTCCATTGAGCTCAGTGGACCTTCTCTCTGAATAAAGATGCCTGTGATTACTCTGTTAATATAGCTTTCCTTCTCCTTCCACAACAGCAGAACAATTCTCCAAGGCGTCGTCCACACTTCCACTTTTCCCGTGCCTTGAAAGCACAGGTCCAAGTAGTTTTCCATTTGTCCCATGCTTTCTATACACTGTTCAGAGTGGTTTTGCCTTTGCTCTACTGCTTTCCCCTGGAAAACCTGCTCTTTAGCACTAAATCGGAACAGATGGCAATCTGCAGAAAATCCAATTGCCATTTGTTCTGATTCAGTGCTAAAGAGCGTGGATTTTCTCGGGGGAAAGCAGTGGGGCAAAGGGAAGTGTAGATGAGCTTTTAGTTGTGCCTACATGGAAATGCTTGAGTAGAAAATAACAAATGGTTTTAATCTGACCTTCACAGCTAATGAATAAAACATCCCCATGAACACTTAAGATATATTTTTCTAGTTAAATGACATTTTAAAATTCAGGTAGAGTAGCTAAATGCAAAAGAGGGCAGGGCTCCTGCTTCTTAGGTAATTGTGTAGGAGTTTCAACAGGTGTAGCTTGCATAATAAGCTACACCCACAGAAATGCCCTCTCCTATACATCTATTACAAGTGCTGAATTACCATCATTTTTTTGCCTCTAGCTACACGACAAATTAATTACTTTCTGCCTTGGTCAACAACAATTGATACTCATTCTATTGAATATACCAGTTTTGGTTTTCCTCACTAGTCTTAAGTTCAGTTCTCCATGTTTCCACATCAGTTTGCAGTTTTGTTTTTGTTTTGTGATACCCCTCCCTCCATTTGCACTTTTGTATGCAATTGTGCCCAATATACCCATGTCTGAAAAGCAATTTTTGTATTTTCACTGCTGTATGCATTTTTGTACACATTGCTTGGAGGAAGAACTGCCTTGCGAAATTCAGAGAAGTGCAACTGTCAAAGGACAGTTTGATTCATGTAGTGTTTCCCAATGTGCAAATGAAATAAATTTCCCTTTAAATGCACACTAAATTGAATCTCCTGCCCCACATACATTGTTTGCAATCATTTCACGTTGTACTGAACCTTTGCAGCTTTGACTGTGTTAGTTTGTGCTGCCCATGTGATGCAAAGCACATCTTCCCTCCTAAATGTCTCTCTGTAACCGCGGGGCAGCAATTCTATCTTACAACAATTCATACATACACCAATTCCATTCAGATAAAGTGATGGCAAAAATCTTACCAAGGTTTTAAAGAAACTCATGATGACAGAGTCAGAGTTGTTATAGTCTGTCCCACCTGCTGCTGTCTTAACGTTCTCTGGCTTTACGTCTCCTTGAGCAAGATCCTCAGCAGCCAAGCAATTGACACCTGCTGAATCCGGCTGCAGAGTGTTTTGATTGCACTCATCTATTACGTCCTGTATAAAAAGGGAGCACAATTCGGTCAGTTCCTCGCTTGTTGAATGCCCAGTAGAAGATTGTAAAAGTAGCCTGTTTGCCACTTGCATCATGTTGCTCTCTGAGCCACAATCCTAATTCCATCCATATTTCTTCAGCCTACATATCCAGAACAATTGGGCATTTATGCAAGCCCCGTCTAATATATGCAGCATTTGCCGTTGGCCGGGGGAACATTGTTCCAAACCAGAGAGAATAGCAAATACAAGAAGCCAGGTTGCATATGGCACGCAATCTCCGTTTCTGTTCAGTGCAGCTGAACACTGAATAGCAAGCAACACATGTCTGCGGCTTTGATCTCTGAATTCTTTACTGTCAGTTCACACCACATACAGTTTACTCGTGCTCAGTTTACTATCCTTTTCCAGGAAGGCAGACACACACACACACACACACACACACACACACACACACATTGCGCAAGTTCAGGTTTGTTGGCTTATCTGTTTAAAACCAGCTAAAAAAAATCAATGTTGCTTACTTGAGGAGAGGGACACTCTGGAGTTTGAATCAGAGGACAAGGATTCTAAATCTCTGGTGAAGTCCATTAGCGGATGAGCTCAGGGGAATGTACCTTCAAGGTTGGAACACCATAGCTCAGTGGCAGAGTATCTGCCTTGCGTGAAAGAAGGTCTCAGGTACAACCCTGGCATCTCCAGGTAAAGTCTCCTGACTGAAATTCTGGAGAGCTGCTGTCAGTTAGTGTAGACAATACTGCAATATTTATTTATTTAAAGTATTTATTTACTTTGTTTATTTAAAGTAAATATAATTCTCTCTCTCTCTGTATCTATATATATCAGATATACACAGTGGCAGAGCATTCCCAAATGCATTTCCTTACATTTCTATTTCTTCCACTATGGAACCCAAAGTGGTCCACATACACAGATCAGACCTACCTAGCTTCAGTAAGGTGGTGGTCTCACGTGCCTACAGGCCATAAGAACGTTCACAAAACACTCTCTTCAAAATCCTTGTTCTCATCCTGGCAGACATGCAGTGCAGTCTTAAACACGATTACTCGGGATTTCCATTGGACTTACTCCCCTTGAAGCGTGCTTTGGGTTCCACTCTTAATAGCAAAATACTCTACCACAAAGTGGCAAGTTACTCTACCACAAAGTAGTTCCCTCTGTGATCAGTGGGGCTTATCCCAGGGTAAAAAGGAACACAAGGAGATTCCTGTGCCAAGCCATTAGTCTATCTAGCTTCTTATTGTCCATGTTGATTAGCAATGGCTCTCCACAGTTTCTGAAAGGAGACGTTTTCAGCCCTACATGGAGATATTGAGGATTGAACCTGGGACCCTCTGCATGCATAACAAAAACCTCACCACTGAGCTGTGGCCTTCCCCATGCATAGGATTGTACCCTAATGCTGTGATCCTAAGAACAGGTTCTTGGGATTAAGTCCCATTGAGCTAAATGGTGCTTACATCTGCTTAGACACAATGCATTGTAAATGAATAAAGCTCATTTTAGGATCCTTGTTATGGGAGGAACTTGCTTCCTTAGAGTGGGTACAAAAACAGTCTCCCCTAATGCTCTCAGAAGAACAGAACTGAACAACCGAGAAAGCTGTTTTAGTATTTTCAGTATATAATTAATGGGATGTATAGACAGTTTTTGCAGAATTCATTATGCGAAAGGCTGGGCTGGATGAATCCCTAGCCGGAATTAAGATTGCTGGAAGAAATATCAACAACCTCAGATATGCAGATGACACAACCTTGATGGCAGAAAGTGAGGAGGAATTAAAGAACCTTTTATTGAGGGTGAAAGAGGAGAGCGCAAAATATGGTCTGAAGCTCAACATCAAAAAACGAAGATCATGGCCACTGGTCCCATCACCTCCTGGCAAATAGAAGGGGAAGAAATGGAGGCAGTGAGAGATTTTACTTTCTTGGGCTCCATGATCACTGCAGATAGTGACAGCAGCCACGAAATCAAAAGACACCTGCTTCTTGGGAGAAAAGCAATGACAAACCTAGATAGCATCTTAAAAAGTAGAGATGTTCACCTTGCCAACAAAGGTCCGTATAGTAAAAGCTATGGTTTTCCCAGTAGTGATGTATGGAAGTGAGAGCTGGACCATAAAGAAGGCTGATCGCCGAAGAATTGATGCTTTTGAATTATGGTGCTGGAGGAGACTCTTGAGAGTCCCATGGACTGCAAGAAGAACAAACCTATCCATTCTTAAGGAAATCATCCCTGAGTGCTCACTGGAAGGACAGATCGTGAAGCTGAGACTCCAATACTTTGGCCACCTCATGAGAAGAGAAGACTCCCTGGAAAAGACCCTGATGTTGGGAAAGATGGAGGGCACAAGGAGAAGGGGACGGCAGAGGACGAGATGGTTGGATAGTGTTTTTGAAGCTATCAGCATGAGTTTGACCAAACTGCGGGAGGCAGTGGAAGACAGAAGTGCCTGGCGTGCTCTAGTCCATGGGGTCACGAAGAGTCTCACACGACTAAACGACTAAACAACAACAACATAGACAGTTTAATCATCCATTAAGTGCAACCTCTGCAGATATATGCTTGACCAAAGAAGTCCAAACAACCTGTGGCAAATCTGTTATTATTATTTTTAAATGAGGTTTCCTCTAGTATATAAGCATGGAGAAACTGTATTACATTTTCTCAGGCCTTAAACGTTTGTTTTCTTTAAGAACCTTCTTCTGTCTCTAACTGTAGGCTGGAGGGAGAGTGGCAGTTTTGGCTAGGATCAACCCTGTTTTATTGCAGCTTGCTTTCAAATGGTGTGCAAAGAAATGTACAGCTGATTGGCATGATGCACAGAAGCCAAGACACAGTCCAAAGTTCAGTTTTGGCACCTGCTATGCATCCACCCACTCCTCCTCCTTCCGACAATTCTGAATTGATTTCATACCTTCCAGCCATTCAGAGATGAGGAAAGGGGTTCTCTTGCCTGCTTGTAACATTGCTAAAATCTACCTTGTACTGAGTCAGACCATTTGGTCCATTCAGCCCAATAATGTCTACACAGACTGACAGAGGCTCTCCAGGGATTCAGGCAGGGAGGCTTTTCCAGCCTACCTGGAAATGCTGGAGATTAAATCTTGGACCGTCTACTTGCAAGGCAGATGCTCTACTCTACACATACTTGCAAACCCTTTAATATACTCCAGAACCACTGCCAGACCCCTCCCACACCTGCTGTGGTGGGGACAGGGACTTAGACTTCTGCTCATATGCACCACCTTACCTCTGTGACTGAGGGGGTCCAGGCTGTGCGACATCATTAAGGCATTTGCGCATGACGTTGGTGTACACTGCAGCGTGCTGATGTTGCATGTGCATGCTACATGCTGGTGTGTGTGTGGACGCCCCACAGCATGAGCACATGGCTGGCAAACAAGTTTGGGGGCCCCCTGACCCTCTAACTGAAAATTAGGGGGGTTGGCTCCCATGGCTCCCCACACTTGGTGCCTGTGCTTCTGGTGGTCACAGTAAGAGAGGAATAATAATAATAATAATAATAATAATAATAATAATAATAATTTATTATTTATACCCCACCCATCTTGCTGGGTTACCCCAGCCACTCTGGGCAGCTTCCAATAAAATATTAAAATACAATAGACCATCAAACATTAAAAGCTTCCCTAAACAGGGCTGCCTTCAGATGTCTTCTAAAAGTCTGGTAGTTGCTTTTCTCTTTGACGTCTGCTGGGAGGGTGTTCCACAGGGCTGGTGCCACTACCGAGAAGGCCCTCTGCCTGGTTTCTCATAGCGAGGGAACTGCCCGAAGGCCCCCGGCCCTGGATCTCAGTGTCCGGGCAGAACGATGGGAGTAGAGATGCTCCTTCAGGTATACTGGACCAAGGCCTTTTAGGGCTTTAAAGGCAGCACCAACACTTTGAATTGTGCCCAGAAATGTACTGGGAACCAATGTAGGTCTTTCAAGACCGGTGTTATGTGGCCTTGGCAGCTGCTCCAGTCTAACTGCCGCATTCTGGATTAGTTGTAGTTTTTGAGTCACCTTCAAAGGTAGCCCCACATAGAGTGCATTGCAGTAGTTCTAGCAAGAGATAACTAGAGCATGCACCACTCTGGCAAGAAAGTCTGTGGGCAGGTAGGGTCTCAACCTGCATACCAGATGGAGCTGGTAAACAGCTGCCCTGGACACAGAATTGACCTGCGCCTCCATGGATAGCTGTGAGTTCAAAATGACTCCCAGTCTGTGCACCTGGTCCTTCAGGGGCAAAGTTACCACATTCAGGACCAGGGAGTCCTCCACACCTGCCCGCCTCCTGTCCCCCAAACAGTACTTCTGTCTTGTCAGGATTCAGCCTCAATCTGTTAGCCGCCATCCATCCTCCAACCGCCTCCAGACACTCACACAGGACCTTCACCGCCTTCACTGGTTCTGATTTAAAAGAGAGGTAGAGCTGGGTATCATCTGCATACTGATGAACACCCAGCCCAAACCCCCTGATGATCTCTCCCAGGACAGACAAGAGGAGTGGAGGATCAATGGAGCAAAAAAACAGCATGGATATAGGCTCGGTGCCCTTAAAGGAGCAAGCACCATCTCAAGACAAAGATCAGGCATCCCTTCATAACCTTTTCTAACTGCAACAAGACATCTGGAACCTGCCAAATGCACATGTTCACTTGCGGAAGAATGTATTTTGCTGGCATTGTTGCCAGATCCATTATGGGGTGACTGGGGTTTCTTTTTCTCATTGTACCTGCATGTTATGTAAAAATTCAATCTTTAAGCAATAGAGAGATTTTTCGAAGAAGAAGAAGAAGAAGAAGAAGAAGAAGAAGAAGAAGAAGAAGAAGACAAGGACCTGGTAGCCCTGGGAACATGTCTATGCTCTTCCTGAACTCAGTGGCTATGTTCACATTGCTACTTTCCAGCCTATATGGTTGGAAGCAGTCCTGCATGTGCCTGAATCCCAGTTTTTGGAAGCCACAGGAAGGGAGTGTGCTGTTGCACTCAGGTCCTATCTTTGGGCTTCCCCACGACATCTGGCTGGCCACTGTGAGACCAGGATAATGGACTAGATAATAGGCCT